ATTGGTATGTATAATACGTCTGTTCACAATAAACTCTTCAAATTCTGCCCTGCCACGGAGGCCGTGACATTAATCCAACTGAAGAGCTCAGATTGGAGCAGCGATAGTGGAAAGCTGAGAGGCGCCACGATACGAAATTAACTCTGGGTTAGAAATAAATGAACCAGTTCACAGAAGTTCAGGTACCTCTGAACATGGGAGCAGCTGCTCAGAAAAGAGTGGGTCTGGTTGTGTTTCCCCCCCCATCCCTTTCCCCCGAACAAACTCTGGAACATTTTGGCATTGGGTTAAGACCCCTCAGCCCTTCCTCGCCCATGCAGTCACCCTCAGGTTCCTCAGCATCATCGACAACCATTTTAGGTTTTTTCCCTCCAAAAGATGAAATAGGCAACGTCATGGGAGCAATGCTAAGGATGGGCAGGAATGAGCACACAAACACACCGGGGCACAGCGCGGGAGCATTTGCACAGCGGGGTCTGCGCGTCTGTCCGAGGCGGGAGACGCTTGTGTGCCACAGGCACTAACCACAGCTTGCCGACGGGAACCCACAACACCAGTGCCCATTCTCAACGCACGGAGAAAAAGGAGGATGGGCACGCTCTGCCCTCGCTGCCGCTGCCGTCGAGGGGAGCCGGCAGCGCGCGGGAAAGCGCTCTTTGGAGACAGAAACACGCAAACGATGCCTGCTCTGCCTGGGAACACGGGCAGCGGCTGCACTTCACTACTGAGAACTGAGTCGACTGTCGAGTAAATTCTACTTAGTGCTAAATAAAGGAGGAAGAGAAAAAATAACCTTGAGTATGTCTGCAAATAACCTTGAATATGTCTGCACGGGTACGGAGCCCTCAAAGCACCTGCTAACTTAAAAGTCCACAAACTTATAACCCTACTGAAAATCAGGCCCTTATAAGCTTTTAGACCTGAAAGCTTTCGGGCTAGTCCCACCTTTCCTTTGCCACTTCTCAGCAACTCTCACCTAAACTCCTCGGGGAAGGCCGTCTCCTCCCAGAGCTGCTCCTGCTCTCCAGCAGTCGTTTGTCACTTCGATGCACTTGGTCCCTGCCTCGGAGCTGCTGCTGCCTCCTCTTCAACACCGCATACCGCTGGGCTGTCCTGCAACGCTCGTCTTGCTCTCAAAGCTTTATCAGCAGAGCAGAGAGCCCCCTCCCCGAAAGGGGGTAAACTTGCCCACAGCCGTTCTCATAGATGGAGACTTCTCCCACGAGATGGGCAATGGGGGCACTGGCAGAGCAGCACTCCCTGTGCTGCCAAGCCCCGAGAGCCCCTACCCCAGCTCCCGCGGGAAAGCACCTCCCCAGAAGAGCCGCTCCCGGGAAGCACGGGGCAGTTCGGTTTCCTTCTCCCGGCTGCTTTAAGGGGGAAATGGGTGAAAGCAAAGGCCCTTGCAGCACGGTCTGCGTGTCCAGGCTGCGAGAAGCACAACCTCCTCATCACCAGCCAACCGAGATGCTGATTTCCCTGTCGCTGTGCTTGGTAAAGCCATGAATTAAGACAAGCTGCTATGGAAAAGGAGCAATTCCATGTAAATCTAAATATAAGTTAAGCATGGGTTGGAGGTCCAAACGGTTTTCTCATAGCCTGACACTCTGCTCTCACAGCAGAAACCCAAGCAGACAGCCGAGCAGAAGCGCTCACTACCTGTTCAGCCTCAGACCTGGTGAGAAGCGCCTTCCCAAACAGCACGAAATTCAACCAGAGACACGCGAGGGCAGAACGAACTCGTGACATGGATGAAAGCTGCTGTGCGCTGATTCTGCTCACCTGAATCTGATGCAAACATGTATTAGCAGGAAAAAGCTGTTGGATGAGTAAAACATGCACATACCAGATGGCGAGCTGGAATGATTAAGAGTTTTCATAAATAACGCGGTTTTAGATTGAAAAGCTTGGCCTTAATATGTCCCATTCAGCACAAAAGCCCACCTAGGACATGGCTGGGGAGCTCATCTTGGGAAATCTCTTGCCTCCCATAAATCCTAAAGAAAAAGCTGCAACACGGTGAGCGCCTGTTCCTCCTGACGGAGGGATAGAAGGTCACTCATCTCAGGTGACTTTCCTCCCACGTTAATGCAGTGGCTTCTTTTACACCCACACTAAACCCCCAGTGCTTGAGCCCAGTCCTCCCAAGTGCTCTGCACATTTTTTCCGAGCTCAGATTCCTGTGGATGACCCGAGAGCTGCGTGCAACGTTTCCACGTGATGCTCAGCACCGCTGCTGAGGACCACCCGCTCTTAGGAAGCCACTCAGGTAATTTATAGGCCTTCCAGCTTTACATGCACATCTTCAGTTCGGTAGGCATTCCTCTAAGGTTTGCTAAATCATGGAGGTTTTTTTCGAGGCTATTTTTTCTGTAAAACCATCCACATTTTGCTTTTGGTTTGGATTCTGGCATATAAGTAGGACAGGCCATAAATTTGGGCTTAGTCCCCAAATTCCCCAATGTTTGGAGGTACATGAATCCCATGCTGGTGGCTCAGTGTTAATCGGTTCTTAGGAGGTATGAAATATTTGTGTATTTTCAATAGAAATGGCAACTCCAGTCTCCAGTACCTGAGCAAGCCATGAACAGCAGCATCACCAGGAAAACACAATAGAAAATCAAACTGGAAAACCCAACTGTACTTTTGCACTTAGGGGAAAACCCTGGGCAGCCGAGGCAGCCCGGCCCCTGGGCTGGCTTTGCGCGGCGCCGTGGGTCTCAGCCTCAGCCTCTCGCCCCCCTGGGGTCAGTTCGCTCCCAGCCCGACCCACGAGCCCCAGGAGCTGGATGCAGCCTCACGCCCGGGACTTCCCAGCCCCGTGCTCCTCGGAGCCGGAGGTCCCAGGAAGGTACCTGCTGCGGTGGAGCACCCCCTCCACCCCGGTAGGCAACTTAGCCATCAGTAATGGATCAAAACAAGGTTAGAAAGGGAGATACAGAAAGTACCTTATTTTTGAAGAAAGATATTTGAGATTGGAAAAAAAAAAAAAAAATGCTCATAGCATTGATACAAACATCGGGGGCAAATTTTTATTCACATTTCCTCTTTTCCAATTGGTAAAATTTCCCCATCTGCTGTATAAAACATTTTTTGTGGTTAAATTGCTATGAAAACATCAAAACCTTAATTTATTTTTTGAGATCGTATTCGAAATGTCACTGAAAATGTGGGGGGGTTTGCTTGGATGGCATTGCTTTTTTTGAGCTCATTAATAGGGTTTTCAATTTTTCCACCTAAAAATGGAACTGGAAACATGTTTTTTAAACAAAATATTTGTATTAAAGACAAAAAGGAAACTCCATTCAGGTATCCAATGAATTCCTTGTACGGACACGCATGCTGAATGTGGCCTGATTAGGGGCTTGATTGACAGCCTATTGAACTCCATAGGAAAGCTCCCATTAACCCCACCCCGGGACTAAATGTACCCAAATACTTTAAGTACAGCAGTAGTTTATTTCATTTGATTTTCTAATAGTTTTTATTAACACACATATTCTGAAATAGTAGTAGTAGGTGCAGCTGATAATATGAACAGATGGTACCATGTGGATAAATAATTAAAAGTTTTAAAAGAAAATTTATTTTGCAAACCATAAAAAATTTAAAAGGCCAGTACTTGGAGAAAGACATAAATTAATACTATTGCACAGTTCCGGACTGGCTAGGTTGAATAAACAAATTTCTATGCTTTAACATCCTACATGTAAGCAAATGAGTTCACGGCCAGCATTCTCCCTTCACGCACACTCATTTCCAATTTGTGAGGGTTTTATTCCCACTGGACTTTACCCCAGCTTTAAATCAGCGTTAACAAAGCCGGGACTGAGGACGGGCTGCTTAGGGCAGAAGGTGGCACATCTCGGCCAGCAGGGGATCCTGCCTCTTCTCCTGCCTCTTAAAACCTTCTTCTAGCCTATAGTCCTGGATGAAAACGTGATGCACTTTACCCGGAATATGGTGGGTTACGTGAGCAATATTGCCTTTTAACAAACATACCTCCTTCCCAGGGAAAAATCTGACTGTTCTTTGGCAGGGGGGAATATTCCCAGGAGTCTGGAAACAGCAACACGATGCAGCACGGGAGAATGAGACCAGGAGGGGAATCCCAGAGTAGGGGACCCCCAGGCTGTGGGTCCCACAGGGGTCTGCCTCTGTTTCTACATTGGACATTTCATCATCACAACTTTTCTGTTTTTCTTGTTGTTGTTCAAGTCTTTGAGTGGAAATTTTTAGACCTTGATTTTTCTGGAGGAGACCCTAATTCCAACCCATTTGACCAGAACAGCAATCAGTGAAATGCAGTGCAGCAACACGCACTCCCCTGCCCCTTCCCAGCTGCCTCTCAAAATCCTCCCCTTCCCTCCTCCCTTCCTCTCCCTCCATCCTCAAAGGCCTTTTCCGACCTGGAGCATCGCAGCCAGGAGCAGATTTGGAGACCAGAGCCAGCGGAAGGGGTTTATGGGCGATGCTTCCTAACAGAAATCCGCCTGGGCAGGGGACTCTGCAACTGCCCAGCAACACCCTGGCGCGGGAAAGGGATTTAATTCCTCTTGCAGCCAGGGCGCTGCTCCGCGCAACGGGAGGCAGCGGAATTCGGCCCTTCGTTTACGAGAAGCGTTTCCTTACTGTCTCATGTCGGAATCATACTTCAGATAGCTCAGCTACTTCACTTGCCCAAGACAAATTTTGTTTCTCCAGTTAGGATATGTTTTGTGTACCTGCATGATAAGGCATCAGAGAAAAATACTCAGGGGGTGAATAAAGGGAGAAAAGTGCTGTGTCAATAATTTGCTGGCTGTTTCCACTTTGCTTTGACAGCAGAGTTTCTGCTTTGAGGCAGATATTCAGATGGCAGTTAACAGACAAGAAGTGGCAGGGATTTCAGCAGCAAATGGATGAACGGATCATGGGCAAGGAAAGGGCATTTCTCCACATTCAGATCTGTTTTTCACAAAAACTGCAGACATGTCTAAACCTTTCCAATATGCTACAAAGTTGTGCAGCTGTCTCCTTCCTCAACTCCTTCCAGATTCAAATGCAAATCAAATCTGATGGCCTCAGTATGTAATTTTGTGCTACAATATACCATGCTATGCACATTAAGGAAACTGGAAGCATCTTCTCGATCTATTTTCCTTCTGAATCAATGGGCAAGATTTGCATTCACTTTCATGGGACCGGATAAAACCCTTAAGCGGGAACCTTCAAGGATTGTGAGATTATTGTAAAAAAAAAAACTTTGCAAGAAACAATATTATAACTTGGGTTAGCAGAGTTATCGGGGACTTTGGTCCCTGTCCCTCCGCTCATCCTGGAAGTGCACCTGGCAGAGCTAGGAAGGTTTGGGTCTGACACAGGCTGGAGGGTCTGGTACTCAGGGATGCTGCTGATTCTCTCTGACAGAGGAGGGAAGGGAGGAGGGGTTACTCACAGCTACCAAGCGTTTTGTGAGGAGTTGCTGCCAGCTGGCACAACTCAAAAAAGTGAGGAAGAAATAGACAATTTTTAAAAAAAAAAACAAAAACATATATATGTGAGACATCAAAAATTTTTAACTGAGAAGACCAAATAGTACGAAGAGCCTAAAACTCGGATATCTGTCAACATCTCCAAAACCCCCAGCCAGCCAAGGAACAGAGGACCAGCGGTACTTACTGTTTGGGTCTACGTTCTCACACAGCTCCGTTTTGGCTTCGCCGTTGGGCCTGTCGCTGGGTTTGTGCGAGAGCCGTGACGACATGGTCGCTGCTGTGACCACAGCCTTGAAGCTGCGTTTCCGTTTCTGGACGTTCAGCTCAGGGTGGAAGATGATGATGTACACCTTCGGCATGTAAAGCATCCCCAGGGCCACTGAAGCACTTAAGTTCATGGATATTGTAAGTGTGGTAGTTTGTATGTAGAGCTAGGAGACACAACACATGAGACACTATTACAAATAAGATGACTGGGAAGCAGGCTGTAGCACTTCAAACATTAAGCAACCATTTAAAAGCATTTTTAAATGAGTTTGCAACCAAAGATGCGTGAGCCGAGACCTTTGCACTGCAAACCCCCGTGAGGTCCAGCACCCCCCAGCTACTACCTGCGGTATCCACAGCCTCTTCGGGGCTCAGTGCTGGAAACTTCCAGTGTCCTTCACAACACAATTTCTGCTGTATGCTAACGGTATATCCTTAATTTATTTAAGGAGCGAAGGTCAGATTTGGATTGCAATAATGCTGGTAAAAATTTAAATTTAGGTCTACTGAAAGTTATAGAAGAGGAACTACCATGGTGCAGGATGCTCCTAAAGCCTTGGTTTGCTAAAAAAATTGAGGAAGGTGGGATTTTTTTTGTTTTGACTATGCTTTAATTCTCTACAATTCATTGAAATAGCTTTGTAGAGAATACACAACGATTTGTGTGCTCATGACATTCAGCCATGCTTACTATGAAAAAAGAGAATCTACGCCAGCCAGAGAACAGGTACTGCCACGAGATGAGCGTTGAAAGAAACCACAAGGATTTAAAAACATACTCTGCAAATATACAGGGGTGGAAAAGCCTTTCTTCTTTTTCTTTTTTAATTATCTTTTCAGAGGACACACTTAATAGATAAACTAGAACAATTCTCCTGACTTAAGAGGATCAGGCACAGTTAAAAGTTAAAAAGCCCAGAGATGCACGGCACAGGTGGGAGGGAGCTGAGGAGGCAGCAAAGTCTCTGCGGATCCTCTTCAAAAATTAAATATACAGTAAATCCATATAAATGGGGAATTCATTACACATTGAGGGTGATTTCTTCAGAACGCTATTTCCTCTTCTCCTCCTATTCAGTGCTAATCAGTCTGGATTTCTGATGGAAAAACGCCATGAATAAATATAATGGTGGCATAAAATGCTGACTCTGCCCAGGTATTTCTAAATTCCCATCTTTAGAAAAATATGAATGCCTCCAGACTCGCCGGTTATATCTACATAACAGTTGCTATTACAGTGATTAAGACCACCACGGGAAGCAATAAAACGCCTTACAGAAAACATAAAACCCGTGCTGCGTGCGGATGTGTCTCAATACAGATGCGCACAAGCAAAAACTAAAGTGCTTTCTCAGTTTCTATTTACTCATTATCAGAAGGAAATGGCACTGATGTTGTCAGAAATGTTGCCAAAGTCAGGACACTGGGACATGACCCATCTCATCCGGTGAAAAGATACACTGGGCCAAGCTACAGCTGGAAGGGAGCCCAAGGGGTCACCTCATCTAAAACCCTGCCCCAAGAAAAAGCCATTTACACCAAAACTACTTCTGACAGATCACCCTGGCTACCCACGTCCTAAAACCATCCTCTGATAGAGGTTTCGCAGCCTCCTAACCAAACCCTTGCAGAGTGCTCAGGTCTCCAAAACATTTGGCCTGTGTCTGAATGAAGCTGCTAATTGTCCTCTCCTGCTGGAAGGGAGAGCAAGTGGCCACCACACCCCGTTACCTTCTTTTACCCATTTAAAGTTACTGGCTTTTGGAGAACTTTTAAAGAGCAGGATGGTACCATGTTTCCCCTTGGTCTTTGGCAGATAACGGGGCAATTTCTCCCAACTTCAGCCACTGGGAGGACCTCAGGCCCTTCTGCCTCCCCCTAACCTGGACACCACCACCGACCCACTGCTTCACCGAGCTGCAATGCTGCAAACCCACGTGGTGCTCTACCGACGCCTCCTCGCTGGAGGGTTATTTTCTGAATTTATCTATAGCCCGGCTGCGAAACACGATGTTGGTTTTCCTCAGCCAGGTAGCGTTGCTGCTTGCTGTTCCTCACTGCAGAGTTACTGCCGGGCTGGTTATTCCTCACCTCGTGTCCTGCAGCTGAACATTGCTACGCCGCAGACACATGCTCTATACCTTTACTGCTATGTACATTAAGCACTATTGTCTATTTATCTTATAAGAACACTTAAAAGAGAAGACATTTCGCAATGTGTTTGCTTCCTTGGAGCTGATCCTCCTTTCCGTTATGTTCACATAAATCAGTTGTAACTCAGTCAGGGTCAAGTGCATTGCATTGACATAAATAACAAGGCTTAAAAATTTGTTAATTAAATGCAATAGGTCTTTGAAAACTGGAAATGAGATATATAAAATGTAACATTTAAGGGCTGAAGCATTTATTTCAAACTTACTGGAACTTACTACCAGCTTTTCTCCTTGCTAAGTAAGGTAATTATTAATTCTATTTTATAAAGAGCTCCTGCAATTGCTATAGGAGCTGCAGGTACCAACAACTCAAAAGGCCAGGAAGATGCTGCGGACAAGATACTTGAGAAATTACCTTGCACCTAGGGACCGTGGTTCTCAGCTCCGTATTCAGACCACCCCTCTCCCTGCTAATGCTCGGGAAGAGAGCGTGCTTAAATAACGTCTGCAGTCCTTCTGGTTCAGCCTGAGAAGGACGCGGCTCTGGAAGGCGTTTAATAACAACTGCCTCCCTTGCTATGCACAGGACATGTAACCAAACCTGACAGGCACCCAGTATCTACTAAGCAGTACTGCTGAGCGAGATCAGCGTTCCTACAAGGTCAGAGAAGGTCTGTGCCGGCGAAGGGCTCTGGCACAAGCACGGCGGGTGCACGGGTGCTTCAAAGCGCTGCTTTGTTCAGCAGTCACCTCAAGGGACTTGAACTGGCAGAAAGTCTGTTCCAGCAGCCGTACGGTGGAAAATGCAACTAACTCTTGATTCACTTTCCTAGGGAACATATAAATCTTTATATAGAAAACAGGAATTGGGGCCACAGGGCAAACCATTAAAAAAAAAAAAAAGAAAAAAAAAAAAAAGCTAATGGGACAGCACTGGCAGCGTGACACAACATCAGGTGCTTACGTTCCACAGACAGAAACAGCCTATCTATGTTTGATTACAGATTTTCTCCACCCGAATCCCACTACAGCTAGCACCTTCCCTATGTGCTTTTCCATGGGCTACACCAGTGGGGAGCTGGCCCGACCTGGAGGTGGCCTACCCTGGGGAGGGTTTGACCCAACGCCTTCCCCTGAATCCAGGGCTGCTGTGATTGCAAAAGCCGCAGCCAGCGGAGCGCCAGTAACATCTTTATCTAGGTGCACACAGGTGTTAATTTGTATTTCCTCTCCCTATTAAGGGGTTGAAGGCTAAACGATTATTTAGTCAACGGGGTCCTCAGCAGCAGCACGCCAGCAAAGTTTCCTACCTTGCACATGCCGATGGGAGATAAAAGGAAAGGGAGAAAAGAGCTTTTGTAGAACAAGGCGGGATGAGTGACACACAAGGCGTCTCATGACAAATGGGAGCTTTATAAAGATAAGGGAAACTAATAGATATGCTTATTATGCAGAGCCTTAGTTTTATGTATTTTATCTCTGCTTTGTGGTTTTACCAGTCAAACATAAAAATGCAGTTTACATGAAATTATTTCATTTCTTATTTCACTTCTTCCGATAAACTCTCTGAAAGCATTTTAGATGAATGCAAATGGGCAACTTAAAATACAAAGGATAAGATTGAACCGACAATGGGACTCTAATAATTCATGCGTGCCTTTTACAGCTGGCTGGTGAAACCCAGTCGTTTCCAAACCTGAGATCGAATTAAGAAATAAAGATGCAGATTTAGTGAGAGGTGCTCGAACTTGGCAGGAATGAGAACTGGGACTGAGCTAAGCATTGCCAGGGGAAGTCAAAGCTTTCTAAAGCCAGTGTAACGCTGGTCTCGGCAAGCCCGCTCCCACGGAGGGTTTGAAGCCACATTTGCTACAACACAAGGACAAAGTCATTCTGCAGGGTCATCCTCACATCCCTCTCTCTCTCTCAAGCAGACTCCAACTTTTGCCAAATTTTAACTTAATATTAAACCTCACACATCCGCCATTACAAATGCATCAGACTTTGAAGCAATGCATTGGAGAAAACTCAACCCTAAGGATATCATTCACATGCAAAGGCATCTAGATTTTATCATTTATTTTACATAAAGGATTTCCATTTGAATTTTAGATTTCTGTGTTTTCCCGATTCTTGATTTATTCATGCAAATGCTGAAAATTACCTTCAAAACCTTGAGAGAAAATTAGACTGGTCATGAATACACACATCTAATAACCAGAATTTTTTCTAGAACAAATTGTATTGATGGATGATTTTGCATGAGCTAGGGTTACTCTCAGCAGTAAAGCACTGCAGGACCGGGCCTTTCAGTCTTCGCTAGCCCGGTGGACAGATTTCCAACTGCTGGGCCATAATAACTGAAGTTATAGGTGCAGACCCTAGAAAAGTCGCTTTAGGGGTCAGAAATACTTTTTGCAGGCTAATGCTTTGCATGCAGAGTCTAACCAGGAGCAACTGCTCCTTTTATCTAATTCATCTTTCTAATTATGCAGTGAATTGTGTTATTTTGTAATATGGAAATAAAGTGGTAACCTGAGATATTTTTGGACTTGTGTTATCACAAACCAATTTATCTCACTTTTATATGGGAATTAAAACAAATGTTCTTACATACGAAGTAGACAGTTTATAAATCTCCCAGAAGACTTCCAGGTCATCTGAAGATTTCATCTCATTCTCTGCATTATGTTGTGCAAATACAAGAATGAGAAACATTTTTTTAATAAAAATTAAAATTAGCTCCCAGTGCATTATATGTTTGCAAAAATATGGAAAGTAAAAAGCCTTGAATGTAAATGTGTTCTCAGACACTTCAGTCTCTAAGGCCTCTACCCACCGAAGCTACCATGTCATTTTAAAGGCAAATACAAAAAGGAGAATATCTGGTTTCCAGTGAAACCTGTGCTTCTTTGGCTTTAAATCAGCTTCACTTAGGCAGAGGCACTGCCCTTCTCCCTCCAGCACAGGCGGTGGCCATCTCATACCCAACCCCTGCCAGGGGCTACCCA